TCTCTCTCTCTCTCTCTCTCTCTCTCTCTCTCTCTCTCTCTCTCTCTCTCTCTCGCTTAGTGTGCGGCTAGACTTCGTCAACATCGATTTCGATGATATTATCTGGCCCTCGAGACGAACGAGATTTGAAATATAAAATTCGTATTCAGCCAATGAATTCTGCGATGTTTTTCTCTTTTTCAGCGTTTTGTGCAAGGATTTTTATTCGGGTTTTTTTTTTATTAGATTATCGACTCGTTAACTTCTTTCTCGCCCTATTAAAATAGATCTACGTGTACGAATCGACACACATACACACCAATGCAAAAATATCAGTTCTCATTATAGTGTATCTATGTATTTTGTACTGAATATCTGACAGCAGTAATCGGGAGAGATGCGCTGAGAGTGATATTTCTATGTGTGAGAACTGATACTGTCGCGGAAAGTTGTATCCTTTTTTTTCTTTTTATTGCGAATATTATAAATATAACATCTAATTTAATCGGAGAAATTAACAGTGAGCGCGAACTGCAGGCTAGTTCGCTGGAAATGAGCGCGAGACCATTATAATGCTTAATTCATAAATACAGAGTAAGAAATACGTTCAATAAATAAGACAATAATAAGGAAAATGACACAATTGATCCTAAATAAAAGAAAAAGAGAAAGATACTTAGCACCAAGATGTGTCTCCTACAAAATTCTCTTTTACTACACCCCGACACATTTTTTCTCGATCTCTCTCGCGGTCAAGAAACTTTGACTTTGTTATAAGACTCGTCACTTGAAAACCCGGAGGAGCGACAATGCGTACGAGAGGCAGTAAATATCGAGTGTACTACTTCCATACAATCTCGGTCTATGCTTTTTAAAAGTAAATCTTAGGTAATAGTTTCGTACAGCAGATATTTGACATTTCATCAAAGTCTGACAGTAGGTAACTTAGAACATAGCGCTGGTATCTTTCATTTAGATATTTTATATATATATATATATACAGGGTGTCCCAGAATTGGTTTAACATCGCTCGTACACAGGTAGAAGGAATAAAACTAAGGTGAAAAGTCCTATACCATTTTGCTAGATTCGCAATAGTTACCGAGAATTTAATTAACAAAGATCCGCG